AAATTGTGCGGCAACTCTTGGGGTACTGAATTTGCGCAATAATATTCTTATTGGAAATATTTTGGGGACATTCCTAGAAAGTTGTGCATTAATGACACTGGACTTCAATGGGAATAACTTGGTAGGGCAGATTCCAAAGTCTCTGGCCAATTGTACAAAGTTGGAGGTTTTAAATCTTGGTTACAACAACATAAGTGATAATTTCCCTTGCTTCTTGAAGAGCTCGTCCCATTTGCGTGTGCTGAATTTGCGATCCAACAGTTTCCAAGGAGTTGTTCAATGTGGAGGGGACCAGTTTAATAGTTGGCCAAGGCTTCAAATTATTGACCTAGCTTTGAACTACATCACTGGATCGCTGCCGAAAAATAGCTTCTTACATTGGAAGGCAATGATGGTTGATGAGGGTAATGGACAATCAAAACTCGATCACCTCCGATATGAGTTCCTAAACCTTAATCACTTCTACTATCAAGATACAGTGACAGTTACCATGAAAGGGCAACAGTGGGAGCTGGTGAAGACCTTAACTATATTTAAATCCATTGATTTCTCAAACAATAGTTTCGAAGGAGAGATACCCAATACAGTTGGGGGTCTGAAATACCTCTATGTTCTCAACCTGTCATACAATGCCCTCACTGGTGATATTCCATTATCACTTGGAAATTTGGCACAGCTTGGATCATTAGACCTCTCATGGAACAAGCTTAGTGGAAGCATCCCAGAGCAACTTGCAAGTCTTACATTTCTTTCATTCCTGAACCTATCATATAATCAACTGGTTGGAAGGATCCCAATAGGCACTCAAATTCAAACATTTTCAGATACTTCCTTTGAAGGAAACATAGGATTATGTGGGCTTCCTTTGAACACCAGTTGCAGTGATGTTCAAATGCCAGCAGGACTCTTGCCATTAACACCTGATGAAGATGGAGATTTAGATTTTGAGCCTGGAATCTATATAAGTGTTGCAGTCGGATTTGTTGTTGGGTTGGGAAGCTTCATTGGGGCACTTCCTTTATGTAAAAGGTGGAGGCAATGGTACTACAAACATGTTGATCAAGTTCTTGAGAGTGTTGAGGATCGGGGGCACACCAGGGAACTCAAACAAGCAATAACACACAAGATTTAACGTGGTTCGGCAAGTCGCCTACGTCCACGGGCAGCGGATTCACTATATTGAACAAAATTGTAATTACAACACTCTGTAATTCTCACTCTCTCTTTGCTCTCTAAGCCTCTCACCTCTCAGCTGTACTTTTTCAACTCTCCTTAGCTTCTCTATATATAGAGATTACAAAGGCAATCGGGGGCACACCAGGGAACTCAAACAGAGAGGACTTTCCATCTGGAAGAAAGACGAAGAAGGAGAAATCGTAGAAAATGAGCTTACAGAGATCCCATTCAGAGACTTTAGTGCTGGTGGATTGTAACATGGTAAGAACTTTCTTGCAGCCTCCCTCTGCCTTTTGTCTGTCAGGTGCTGAATTATTAATCACAGTAATAAGAGCATCAAAGATATATGTTTGTTTAAAATTTTCACTTAAGTGTTGCATATTATTGATATTTGTATGTTAATATTCAATAGTCCAGAATATCATGTGACATTGTCGATGTAGTGCTCCCAACCAATGCTGAAGCGGAATTTGTTTATAATTAAGGAAGACAAGAGATGACTTATCCAGTGTGTTTTGTGAATCTTAATTTATTAGAAGCACCATGTAAATAATGTCATATGATTCTTGACACTATCTAATAATTTTATGAAAATAAGTAGTGGTGTTAAGTTCTCGGTTTGTGGAGAATCAAACGCTAACAGCAACTTCAAAAGTAAAAATTAAAATAGCTTTGTTTGTTATAGTGCAAAAAAGTCATTTTTTTATTAATAGTTCACATACTATTTTGACAAAACCAATTCTCATATTCATTTTTGGCCATTGGATCTACTCAAAAAAGTCTATTGTGATCATTGTTTAGTTTTGATGCCATAGCAAAAATGACTTTTTTTTATACTTTTTAAGTTAAATTTAGCATAAGATTTGGCTTTGCCATTTTTTGATTAAGCATTTGTCTCACCATTGAAGAATGATTTTTGAGATATTTAGTCAAAAAATGGATGCGAATGTTTAACTTGTAACATATGAAGTGTTGAGGCTCTGTTTGGAACTTGGAAACTGTGAAGAAAAAGGAAAAGAAATCAACAGGGATTTATTTCATTTCTTCTTGTTTGGTTGTGCTTAAAACACTGATTTCTTTTGTTTATTTATTAGTGACATTTTTAAAATTTTGTCGTTTAAAACGTTGTTTTTTACTTTTCTGAACGATATTTTAGCAACTATTTTCAGAATGATAGAAATTTGTCTCTAAATGTCTTTTGTAAGAAAATTTTCACTTTTAGAGACTAAAACATTTGGTCCCTAAAACTCTTATTTGTTGTAGTGAGCCAATGTGTGAAAGATCAGAAATCATTGTTGCTCCAATTGAAGAACAATCTCAAATTCAATTTTTCAGTTCCTGTCAGATTCGTGAATTGGACTCAAAGCAACAATTGTTGTGATTGGAAGCGTGTCACTTGCAATCAAGGAGGTCATGTTACAGGTCTCGACTTGAATAGCGAATCGATCCCATCGTCATTACCACTTTTACCCTTCTATTTTGTTGACGGTCAGCATTGTTTTGCCAGGAATGGATCCAGATTCAGTAATGAATAGCACAATAGAGCATCAGTAATTTTGTTTGTTTTTCAAGGTTTTTTTTTTTTTTTTTCCATAAAGTTTTGGCAGCTTTAATTAGGATAATTTTATTTTGTGGTGAGATTGTTTGTAAAACTAATGAGGAAGATACAAAGTCTTGTTCGAGTATTGATAATGCATCAACACATGGTAATTTGAATATTGGGGAGAAAGTTTTATAAACAAATCATAAAAATATTGAAGAAGGAGATCTAATTGAGCGTAGTAACGCAGAGAAAATAGAAGAAGAAATAACACAACCACTGTGTGCAACAAAGAAATTAGTTGATGTTATACTTGATATTCCAAGGTTGATAATTGAAGGATCAATTGAATCTGGAATGGCACAACATCAAGAGAGCATGCAAGTTCTATATAAAGTAAATTTGGTTGATTTTCTTGGTGTAGAGCAATTTAATTTGATTTTCAATACTTGTCTAATTGATCTTGTCAACCAGTTGAAGCATATAGAAAATAACTTTCAAAAAGTTGACTTCTCTGCATATAATTTTTGGAAGAGGGACAGAGAACCGAACTATTCCAAATATCTTTTTATTTGGCATAGACGATGGTAGGTCACTAATATGAACTTGGGGACGAGTTCTTTCAAAGAAGAAAAATCCTGTGTATTCCGCTGTGTCATAAATAAATATATATACGAGTAATGTTATAATACACATCTCTAAAAGAATAAGTGCGATATAATCATTCTTTTTTAACCTTTGCCAAATAATAATTCCACTATATTTCTATCATAAAACAGTATCTTAAAATTAAAAAAACAAATTTTAATTAAAAAAAAAAATTTGTGCCAACTTGCCCGGGCAACGCCAATCTAGTATATATACATATATAAGAATCACTTAATTGCTTGAGATTTGTCTTTTCTTTTCGATTTTTTTCTTTCATTTTGAATAATTTACTAACGGTGACCTATATGTTGAGTGAATATTTTTTCGTAATTATGCAAACATTCTTGATAAATTATGCTACATGTTTTTTCATAATTACACGAATATTCTTAGTTAATCATGAAACAAGTTTTTTTTGTAATTACGCAAACATTTTTAGTCAATTATGAAATATAATTTTTTTTTTAATAAATTACAAATACACCCATAAAGTTTGTTTAAAATAAGAATTGGTCCTATAATACTAGAAATTACAACTACCATTTTTTAAAAAAAAAATTATTTAACACAATACCTAGGGGGAAAAAAAATTCTCCTTTGCGATAATAAATTATCAAAATTGTTTATCGAAAATTATTTCTCATATCATTAAAAACTATTGACTGACTTAATGATTTATTTATTAACAAAATAGTTAACTGAAAAATATTTTTCATGTCATTACAAACTATTAATAAATTTTGTCATTCGTTATGCGAGTATGATTTATGTATCAATAAAATTAGTTATTTGTATATATATATATATATATGTATTTTCTTTTGCTTCTTTATTAGTTCAATGAATTATCTTCGTAATTTTTTTTAGGTTGGAGAATTATCTTAGTATTTGTTTTATATTTATCTGTTGAGAAAAGTTGCATACCATAATTTCTTTTCTTTTTTTTTATAAATTCAAAAGAAATGTTAAAAACTCATAAATTCATCCAAAATGATATGGTAATAAAATTAGAGTCTACATAATTGGTTGTATAACAAATCAAAAAATGATACATACTATACCACATAACTATATTACATACCTAATGATTTGTTCTATTCAATCTCATAGAACAATATTTTAATTTAAAAAAAATTATCAGAATACAAAATTATACTATAATAACAGACCGTGCCGTGCACGGGCCTTAAACTAGTGTGTGTGTATATATATATATATATATGTCTCTTGGTTATATTATATAAAATTTGGATTACTTAGCTTAGTCTCTCAGATTATGAATTATTTATTTTATGTAAACTGGATGTGTTGCTTTCAAGCATGTCTTGAATTTTATAATTGTTCACTCTCCTCACAATAATTAAGAGATTCACTTCCAATTTGAAGAAATGAACCATTTTGTTGTTTCTTTCTATCTAATTTCTTAATAAATATTATTAATTAAACTAAATTGATAAAATGTGAAACCAGTACGACTTATGTGGATAAGTCCAAGAAACCACTGGACCACCACCCTCCGTGGTTTTGATGATCATCTGATATGAATGTTTTTGCATGATGAAGACACGTGGAAGGTGCCCATAGCCAATGAAATTGTTATAAGGTCGGTGAGCAGTCGTGTCACTGTGTCTGCATCTTGAACATTGTTACTAATTGACTAAGTACCGCTGTGTCATCAGCCCATGCTTTCATTAGCTTCTCACTTGCCGCGTCTCCTCCCATGCATCTTTCTCTGTTTTTCTTTACATGCTTGATTTGCTAACATCTACGTGCGTACACTATATATACACATATGCTATGCTATGCTATGCTATGCATGTCCCTTGACATACACTTGCATTGTAGTATCCCAAGTGCTTTTCGAAGCTCTATAATAGCCATTTGCTTTTAGCTTTCCTTGACAGTGTTTTTGCAGAGAGAGAGAGAGAGAGAGAGAGTAATGGCATCAGGACAGGACCGAGCCAAACTCGACGCTAGGGCGAAGCAGGGAGAGACTGTTGTTCCTGGTGGCACTGGTGGCAAGAGCCTCGAAGCTCAACAACATCTTGCTGAAGGTACCCTCCATCTCTCTCTTTAAATCTGAATAGGTGCAATTGTAATTCAGCATTACTAATCAATTAGACTCAATTTTCAAGTCTATATCCTGATCAATTAGGATATTAAAAGTAATATTTTCTCGTATATTTTTTAATTATTAATCAATCATATCACTTATAAATTATTGAATCTAAAAAAAATTCTACAAAATGGATTTGTATATTGTTTTCTTTGCAAGCGATTATATATTTAAGGATAAATTATATGGGTAATTTTTACATCTCTGTGTTATTTTGGTCTTAATAATTTTAATTAGCTTGATTTTAATATTTAATTTTAAATACTATATTAATTTAGTTCAATTAATAATTAAACTTAAATGATCCTTAAATTGATTGAGATTAATTCAAATAAATTTATAATTTTACTTACAAAAATATAATACATGAATGTTTTTATTTTTCATGAAAAAATATTAACAATTATAATTAATTGAATTAAATTAAAATAAAATTATAATTCAAGTCAAAATCAAATTAATTAAAATTATAGGTTCTAAAATAATATAAGAATCAAAATATAACAACAGATGTAATTTTCCCTATATTTAAATTTGTTGATAATTTGGTAAATTGGAAAATTGTTTGATAATTTTAGAAAGTTTTGATAAAAAAAAAAAAAATTATAAAAAAAATTGTCCAATAACTGAATGTGATATTAATATTAATATAAAATTTGTTAATTTGTATAATATTTGGATGGTTGAAGGGAGGAGCCGAGGAGGGCAGACTAGGAAGGAGCAACTAGGAACAGAAGGGTATCAGGAACTGGGACACCGAGGAGGGCAGACGAGGAAAGAGCAACTTGGAACAGAAGGGTATCAAGAGATGGGTCGGAAAGGAGGGCTGAGCACCACCGAGAAGTCCGGTGGAGAGAGAGCAGAAGAGGAAGGGATCGAGATTGACGAGTCCAAGTTCAGAACAACAAATCCATAGATGCTGTATTCTCTAGTAGTTTTTGTAGTTTGTTATCTCTACATGTCCTCGTATCTTAAGAGCCATATGTGGTGGCACTAGTTTGTTTCTAGTAATAATAGACTTACTAAATATTCAGATAAATATTCTCAATCTAAATTCATGATCCTGTTGTTCTCTGGATAGATAGTCAAGAAAAGAAAAACAAAAAAAAGAAGATTGTAGCCTGCTGGGTGGGTTGAACTTGTGCTATCCTCCTTGAGTTTGAGGGGGGCTGTTAGAATATAATATGTAAAGTGTTTAATACTTATGTTTTCTTCTTTCGGTGTGTGTTAATTAGTATCCTATGTGAATCACCTTTCCTCTCTATAAATGAGCGAATAGATTGTATTGATGAATATTATTATTGATATGATTTACAACACTCTCATTTATAGAGAGGAAAGGTGATTCACATAGGATACTAATTAACACACACCGAAAGAAGAAAACATAATTTGTAATGATCTAAATACTTATGATGAAACTAGTTTTTTTATGATTGTTTAAATTCTAGAACATTATGTCGCTATTATAAAAAAACATGTTGCTATTGTAGAACTAATATAGCGCTATGTTTATATTTTTATAAAATTAAAGTATTATATATATATATATATATTTTGTTATTTAATTATGTGAATCCGTGGTCCTAAACCGATCCAATCCGTGTTGAAATGTATTGGTTCGGATTGGTTCCAAGATTTAAACGGATCGGATTGGTTCCGATTTTTCAGGAACCGTAGATAACGGATTGGTCCTGGTTTTACCCCAATCCGATCCAATCCGGACCATGCTCACCCCTACTGCTGGGTGGGTTGAACTTGTGCTAGGCAACATGAAATGGATAAAGCTTTGGTAAAATCTAGAACTATTAGGCAGTAGTTGTTCATCCAGTGGCTAGTGGCTAGAGCAGTCACTAAAAGACATAGTATAAGAAATGGTTAGGTACTAGCCTGAAATTACAGATTAGAACCAGTACAAAATCCCCAGTGAGGTCAGATAGATGAATGAGGATATTAGGGAAAAGAAGACATGACATAGCTGATATTTGACTAATTATTTTCCCGGAATATTCACAGGCCATTGCCAATTGAAGATTATAATGAATTAGATAGTACGAGAATGCATTAAAATGAAAGGGATATTGGGTATTACGTTCAAAGGTTGAGCTGAGTAAATGTAAGATAGAAAGGATCTGCCTAAAGCAATGCCCTGCCCTGCCCTGGCAATACATGACAAGCATTCAGGGAATGACATTCATTTTAAATACTTTATGAGAAGAAAAATAGAACAATGGCCACCTATTAATAAATAAGACTTACTCACACATCCAATAAACCAGCCGATGCAATGCCTCCCAAAAGCAGTACCCAGATTTGGGTAATCACCTGAGGGAGAGAATTTTAAAAGACTTGTTTCCTCTTTTCAAAAAAATAAATAAATAAATCCGAAAATAAGTGAATTCTGGTGCTCATTCGTGTATAAAAAATAAAAATAAGTAATTAATCACATTCCATACCTCATTCTCAGATATTGCCCCTGAAGGAATAGGACGATAAGGTTCATTAATAGCATCAATCTCTCTTATCATACCAATCATTGAGCATCTAGAAAGGTGGAGAGGACACAAATTTAGTCATTCTAGCAGGAACACACTAATTTCCATTCATGAGAAATGTGCCTGTATAGCCAGTTTGGCATGGCCCAGACATTATGCAAACAATTGATTTGGCAACATCTTCCAAAGTCCAATGGAAGTTTCCTGCAACATGAGCAGAAGTGAACTAACAGACACAGAGAGCGTTGTGGAAGTAATATGATTATTTGAGCAAGCATATTAAGAAAGCCATCCATTAACCTCCCAAAGATAAGCTCATTTGTGAGTTAACAGGCAACAACATTCTATACCTAGGAGTAGAAGAGATGCTATTAAGGCTACATTTGGATAGATATATTTTAAATGAAAGAATTTGAGCTTGAAATTTATAAATACATGAGTGATGCAGATCAGGTGGTTGGGCAGCATAATTGGAATTGGACCAGTGAAATGGCATACAAGTGATTATGAACTGGGGCCGATGTTGTCATGAATTAATCCAAAAGGCCTACGTTTTTATTGAATATGGCTCAATGATCAAAAACACTTTCTTTTTGGCCAAATTCCATCGTTTAGCCTTTCGATTCTACAAATTAACTATTTTTGTTTTACCAATTACTTTGTCTATGAGTTTCCATTTTTTGTGTTGTTTGTTTTGGCATGTTTCTAACTCAAAATTTATATTTTTGGTAATTTTATGTTTTTTCTGCATTAATTCCAAGTATTATGAGGAATTAGCCTAATTTATTATTTCCTAGTCAGGTTAGAACATGCATGCTATAAATTAGTTGTAAGCCTCAAGGCAAATCACTGTAATTTGGATTGTTAAAATTTCAGGGAGAGTTTCTTATTCTGACTGTTCACTATTATGGGTATTCTTAGATTAAACAAATTATAAGTTGTTTTGCATTAATCTTGCTATGTAATTCTTTCTACACGACACACTCTGCCTTAGCCGGTACTGACAGAGTTAGTTGTTGGAGCTCGATTAAAATACCTATTGACGTGGTTAGGCCCACAAAGGTCATAGCCCATTATGAACAACCCAAGCCCATCACTTAGAGCCCAACACATAACCCAATTGATGAGATCCTGAACAGCTAGAAGCCAACATGGCATGAAGAACCAATGATATTCAGACATGTGGCAAGTAAAGGACAAGCCACATCAGCAGATAAATATTTGCAAAGTTATTGCCACTGCACATCGCCATTAATGCAGCCCATCACAGCATTTATTACAACAACACCTCTCCGTTCGAATAGCACCCCCTCACCCTGAACAAGGTAAGCTACAGCATAAACTTTCAACCAAGGTGACAGGTCGGAAGGGACGGCGAAATGATTACCAAAGGATATAAGCAAACGTTGAAGACAAGAAGAAGGTTAAGTTTTCTATATCCAATTCATATCTCTACATTTCACTTCTCTTTCTCTAACTTGCTCGTCGGAGGGTTCGCTGGGGGACTCCCCGTTCCCCGTTGAACTCTTGTGCAGGTTCTCAGGTGGGCTTGGCCATTCAGATATCGGTTGGAGAAACGTGGACCAGTCCGACCCATTCCCTCTGGAACCCGTTGTATCGTAACCGGGCATCATCAGTTGGCACCGTCTGTGGGAAAGCTTTGCTCTTCGCGCCAGTTGTGTTCACTGTCACCGAAGACCCTGTTCCAATAACCCTTTCTCGCTACCCATCGAAGTGTATGGTCACGACTAGATCCATGACTTCTCATCAAAATGTTGCCGACCACCAAGCCGACCCCTCTAATCCAAACAACCCACCACAATATTTCATCGAGCTTACCAACAGCAATAACCACATGGCCGAGCAAAACCAAACCCTGATTAATGCCCTACTCCAAAGAAACCTTCATATGCCCCCTCTACCACCTCCCGATATTCCTCCCAACTACGAACAAGCCCCAAGCCATACTATCCCGCAGCCTAATCCACCCAATAGAGAAGGCTTGCAACCCCCTCTCCTAGGTATAAACCTGCCACCCCGGGGCCCACAACCATCGATCCTGGCACCAATCCTTGAAGGAGAGGCCAGCAGCGTCCAGCTCCCGTTGCCCTCCGGAGGTGACCACATCTCTCTCTGGGACGCGGAACTCCGAGCCGTGAAGCTCCAACTCCAAGGGGTCATGCAGAACATCCAGCATAAACCCTCCACCACAGCAAACTCACCATTTGTCGCCTCCATCCGGGACAAACCTCTACCCCCCAAGTTCAAGATGTCCACCATCGACTCTTTTGACAGTACGACGGACCCAATCGACCATCTGGAGACCTACAGAACCCTCATGATCCTCCATGCATTCCCTGCGAGATCATGTGTCGAGCTTTTCCCGTGACACTGAAGGGGTCAGCTCGGCTGTGGTTTAGCCAGTTACCAGCAAACTCCATCTCCACTTTCCAGTATCTCAGTGACTCCTTCCTCAGCCATTTTATTGGAGCCTAGCGCCAGCGACGCCCGGCAACCCAACTCCTCAACATTCGACAGATCGAGGGGTAGTCGCAACGCAGTTTCGTTACCGCTTCAACACCGAGGCCCTATAAGTAGCGGAAAATGATGACAAGGTCATCCTCACTGCTTTCATGGCCGGTCTGCGGTCGTCCGACTTCCTGTTCTCCCTCTCTAAAAACCCCCCGACCTCCATGGCAGCCCTACTCTCGAAAGCCCAAAAATATATGAATGCTGAGGATTCCCTAGCCGCCCAGCAAGATCCAATAACCAAAAACCCGACCCCCAGAGAAAAGAGAAAAGACTCAGAGCCCAGAAACACCCAGTATAATAGCCAAACACCACACTATACCGACTGACCCCCTCGAGCTGACCGATCGATACCAGCCCGACCGCCCGGTCGGTTCGAGCGGTACACACCCCTTAATTCCCCCATGGAACAAGTCCTCAATCAGATCTAGCGGGACTACCCCCTCAAATGGCCCCAACCTTCACGAACCCCTTCCAATCGGAAAGACTAGTCCAAATATTGTCGCTTTCACCAGGACCATGGCCATAACACCGATGAATGTGTTAACCTCAAAGACCAGGTCGATACCCTAATACGTCAGGGACGCCTTAGCCGGTTCACGGACACCCGTCTTCAACAGAGGCAAAGAACTGAGCCCCTCAGAAACAACTGCCGGCGCACCCCTCCCCGACAGCCAGTCCAACGTAACCAAGGCCATGATCGCCTTCCACAACAGCCTCGGCCACCAGGTAATCCCCCCCCACCTATTGGTGAAATCAGAGTTATTTCAGGTGGCCTTGCTTGTGGGGGACCATCCCGCTTGGCTCAGAGGGCAGAACTCAGAAAGATAAGGTAGGGCTCAGACAAAGCAGTTACCATGGTAGACTGACCCTCCAAATAGCCCAAGCAGTGGACCGAGCCCATCACCTTCACGGACGCCGACTGTGCAGGCATCCGTTACCCTCATGATAACCCTCTCGTCATTTCTGCCCTCCTCTCCAACTACAAGGTCAGGCGAGTTCTCATTGACAACGGCAGTTCTTCAGACATCATCTTTCTCAACTGCTTTCGCCAGCTC